TTTTTAAATGTAACAATCTCGATAGTATTTATGAAACAGTTTTTTATTCATTCTGCTATTTTTTTTTCTCAATTTGTTGTATTTTTTTTTCTTATTTAGGAAAAAAATCTTTCGCAATTATATTTTTCCTTGCAAAAATTTTTTTTCGAGGAGAAAAAAGAATGGAAAAAAAGAAAACTAAACTAAACTAAAATATGAAAATAAGCCATTTATTATAAGTCAAACAAAATTGCTCAATTATCAATAATGGTGCTGCTTAGTCTAAGAAAAGCCAATACATTTGTAACAGTTTACCATTCAAATAAATGGATGGCAAATAATTACTCCTACAATTATTGTTATTGGCATAAATAAAAGTCAATGAAGGAAAAACATAATTCATCATAGGAATGTTTTCGTTTTTTATCAATTTTTCATCAATTCACAACGAAATTTCAATTTTTATTTATCGATTAATGAATTCATTTTTCTAACTATCATTTTTATTACCTTTTTATTATCATTATTGGTATTACTTTGTTATTATTTTATTTTTTTATTACTTTTTTATTATCATAATTTAGTTTATTACATTTTTATTATCATTATTAGTTGAAAACGATAAATTTGATATGTTACAAAATATATCTGTTTTATTATTCCTGCTAATAAAAATTATGTGTTAACTGAATCAATATTAATTATAACTTTATTATATGAAAATATTTACCCATTACGGCTAACAATGTAATGATACAGTTAATAGTAACAATAATGACTAATAGCAATAATGAAATAATAATAATGATAAACAATAATAATAGTGAAATAATAACAATGAATAATTATGATGACAATAACAAAAAAATTATTATTACTAAGGACGAAAATTTTTTCATTATACTATTATATAAAATAAAATAAAAACAAGGAGATGTTTATTAATTGACAACCTAATAATTATTGACAATTTTTAGTTTTCTTTTTCGAAATATCTATTTTTCAACCTTTTTGGATTGAAAAATTTGTCCTAATGTTGTATTATTTATAGCTGAATAAATTTCGAAATAATTCTAGCAATATTCACTAATCAAAGATTTGAATAGATAAATAAATGAATGGTATGCTAATATTATATTTTTCTTATATAATAATAAATTCTATGACGTATATAATCCGTCTTTTTTTTTTCGATTTAATACTTAAATGTAAGCTAAAAAAAAATGGAATCAAATTTAGCTATTTGTTTTTACCCTCATATTAAGTGTTAAGCAGAAAAAAGAAAACAAAATTCAGTTTTTTAAAATCATTAATATCAAATTAAAAATGTCAACTAAAAAAAAGCGCTAAGATTAGTATTGGAATTGTTTATCGGGAAGTGAAATTTATTTTTTATTGTATAAAATGATCATATTATTAACATTATTTTGTTCATATTTTCATTTAAAAATTGAGTAATAAAATAAAATAATGTTTTTAATTTTAAGTGCATTCTTATGTTTGTTATTATTTTAATAATTTATTATTCAAAAAATTGACAATGTATTTTGAAATTAGTTGTGTTTTAATTCACAATTTGATGAGGAATTGAAAATCCAACGTTATGCATAATGTTATAAATTATGATAAAAAATAATGAGAAATTAAAAATGACTTACTTAAATTTGATGTTTAATGATTATTTCTATTCAATTTTTTGCTTTTACTATTTACATGTA